AATTCAAAAATCATGAGGGGCTCATCAACGTGAAACTGACGTGTTGCCATAAACCTTGCCGGTGCGGTCGTTGAATGCATACAGCGTCTCTCGTCGTGAGCGGGCTGTAGATGCGGATAGCTCGGATTCTGAGCTCACCGACCTTGACATCGACGGCGATGGCGACGGCGATGGCGACGGCGATGGCGACGGCGAACGGGTGGCTGACTGACTGCTTGGCTGTTTCGTGACAGGTCTTGCGCGTGCGGTGGAGATCGACGTGGAAGGGCCGCGTGCGGTGGAGATCGACGTGGAAGGGCTTGGGCGGTCGTGTGATATTACTTTCGGCTTCCGACCCGGGACAACAGCGAAATCTGAGATGTCCAACATGTAGCGACCACCTGGAGGACAATCAGACACTGCTCGATCAGGAATTGGTGGGATGGGTCGGTGATTTCCGGTGGAGTCGTCGTAATGGTCCAACACGCAAAGCAGATCCCACTGCTTTAGGGCGCCCTGCCAGCGTTGATGCGCCGTGATGTCGTCCAGTGGGATGCGTCTTGCTGTGGCAGCGTCCTCCGCATACCGCCTAGCGAGGGGAATAATTAGCATGGCAACTGCGCGTCAGGCCGCCAACAAACCGACCTTAAGGTGAAGACACCGGTATTGGGCACCAACCAGTAGAGCTTGTCTCCCTGGTCATGTGTGTCGGTGAACCCAACGAAATTCCGTCCAGGGATGAACGGCGGCTTGCAGGTTGTGTGGGCATTTGCGGCCATTGTCGAGGAATAAAAGAGGGCAGCAAGTGTTAGCTACCGGTACAGCCAGCTATCTTAAATCCGTCGCCATATCAATGCCGGTGACAGGCAGATCGCCTGTGGCTAAAAATTGTCGCATGGCGGGAACTTGGCGTGAAGAAGGCCCCGTGGCCAAGTGCAATCGGCACAGAAACTGGGCCTTAATGACCCAATTCTAGATTGCTAATCAGTCCAGGATCTGAAGGACGAAGTCGACGCGATATTCACCACTGCGACTACTTCGCACTCCCCGGGAATGGGCAGCTCGCCGTCAATCCGAAGCAAGTGAGCAACACAGAAAACTGTAGCCCCAGCCTCAAGCGCCATGACTGGCTCTGTGGCCGGACGGTCAAGCCAATTGAAGTGCGGCTGAGAGTTACAGGCGTGCGTCATCTGTAAAACTACCTGAGAACAGTCTATGAAGTGAGAAATTGAACGACCCACCATGCTCGTATGAGGGGTAACATGTACATAGAGCGCCGGATGCTCCCCAGCCCGATTGAAATTAACCCAAGGACTGAGGGGTTTAGGATACTTGGGATGCTTCAAGCGATATAGTGCGAGTTTATGCGACGCACCTCTGGGGCGAAACTGTTCTGAGCTCGCAGCAGCAACCTTATGCATGGCCCCGAAGTCGTCGTCGAGCGTGAAGTTCGGTTTATGGAGAACAAGATACTGGAATGCTAAGTGAGGAGGGTGGGCATGTACTTGGCATGTAGAGCGCATACTGTTTCTTCCCTGGTCGCGACCACCGTTTTGATTTGTCCCAAGAAAGAGACCCGAGCATGTTCGCCAGTCTTCATGTCCGCCAAGCTGCGAACTTTACCAAGCGGGAGCTCTTGAGGCTGGGCGAGGATGCGAGGAGGCAATACCACATTTTCCATTAAAGGTGCGCTGAAGAATCTTGACATAAACTCCGCCATCCTGAGCGACCGCTGAAGTAAGTCGATTATATGGCGGCTGGCTGAGTTTTGGCAAGCGACGTTTTGGGTCTGATCAAGCTCAGCTCAGTGGTGGTCACAGACTCACAGTAACGCCGAAAGCGTCGGGGCGACCGTTGGCCGTTTGGTCTTCAAAGCGTCGACCCGCATCCCGCATGAGAGAGTTGTCCATATGACTGGTATTTCTACGCGGTGAAACGTAGATAGTACATTCTATATATCTTTCGAGCTAGAAAGATGAGATGCCGCTCATAGACAGAATGTTCCCGAGTCCCTGGTTGGTACATGCCTCCCAGGCCATGCAACTCCACCCAGTCATGATTTAGCAGCCTCCGAACCTCGTCTCTCAGCCAGTCGTAGGCCTTCTTCTTGCCATTTTTGTCGATCTTATCTCTTAATGTCCGCTCAGGTTCTGCTCCGCCCACAGCAAACGTCCATCCACAAGACAAGTGAGGTTATAGGTGAATTCCTCATTGTTGTCTGGCTCATCGGCCGCTTGGATTTTTGACAGGTCGAAAGGCGGCCGGGCAAGCCAGTGTTCCACGCCGTCCACATCGAAGTCGTCTTTCTGAGCCTCCTTGAAGATCCAGCACTCTTGCCGCAGGTCTGCACAGCCCCAGTCCTCTACCAGGTCCGGTATACGCAATCGAGAAAGCTTTGACTTGGCCGTTTTGCGACGACTGCGACTACGCCTTGATTCCTCACGAACACGGTGTCCTCTTATATCTGCTCAGCCGCAACATGGGAAGCTAGACAATCACGCACCTTTCGCTTTTCTCGTACTTGGTCCTGCTGAGCTTTCGAGAATCAGAGGTAGGAGTTTGCATGAGGTTGTGCAGATGAGGTTACAAAGAAGAGTGTGTGACCGAAGCTGGAATTTCGCCCAAATACTGCTTTCCCCATATTCATATCTTACTATCCTAAAAGCTGAACAGTCGTCTTCGGGCACATCAGTAGACCGTATTACCAAAGTTTTCAGACCTATAGTATCAATAAATGGCACAATTTTTGCTTATCTTTTTGGTACGACTTTAAGATCAAGGTCGATTAGTCAAGACCGCTGGGCTCAAATTTCCAGGGCAAACCGCGACATAGTCCCGTTTGACTCACAAATAGCAGCAATATAACGCAATGTGATTCGATTTAGATGCTAATTAATACGGCGGTCGTAGCGAAGAAAACAGCGACCAAAAGGAAAACTAGCTACGGGCTCAAAGTAGCTACGGGGTCATCGCAAACATTGCCACACCATTTTCCCAACGCCGTCGAGCGGCCTCGGCCTGAGCCTGGGCGACTTTGCTGCTATGAATTTGCGCCTCGTACTCTTTGTTGGTTCGACAGCCGTTGTCTACCCATCGGAACAGCCCCCCTGCCGTATACTGCACGAAAGAGTTGCGCGTCTCGCAACTTCGAATAGGCGTGTTAGAGTGGTGAATTGCGGCGGATGGGATAAGGACTGTGGCCCCCGGAGGAAATCGGAGAACCAAGCGTAGGTTCCATAGGGATTAAGTGTCCGCCTAGGTCGGGTGGAAGTCGCCCAAGGCTGTAATTGCGCACCAGCCCCATGCCAAATTGCCGAAGTCTAGGTGCGGCCGGCTGATTGCGCGGCCGAAGTTGAAGCTGCAGGCGGCAAAGACGCCGCGAGGGGAAGGGCCAGCCCAGCCGTAAGGAGGGCTTCCAGGAAAAAAGGGCTGATTGAGTGGATTGGTAGTAGGCAAGCAGTAGAGGGGCCCATAAGAGCATTAGAGCTAGAAAAGAAGATAAGTTTGAGACTTTGAAGGAGGAATGACGACTTACTTCGCGTAAACCCAACGACACGATGAAAATATGGATGTTCCATCAGTTCGTTTGTGGCCTCAGTGTTGGCGACGTTCTGATGTAGGATGCCAGGCTCCTACGAGAATTAAAGAGAAGAATAGCGGGTATGTGCCGCTCACCGTCTGTCCGCCGCCGTGGGAGACGCCTCGCGCTACGGACGCGAAGGCAGTCTGTGCACGCCTATGCTGCTGATCTGCCAACGAAACCTTGAGCTGGCGTTGTTGTCGATTCATAGCGTCATTGGCCCCGGCAGTTAACGAACACCACTCGGGGTCGCGAGGGGCCCCACCTAGAACAGCTACAACCCGCCTTTCGGAGTCTTGGATGGGGATGGTGTGCCTAAAATAAGAGCGATAAGCGGGAGTCTGGTCTGCAGCGTGGCGTTGACTCACTGGCCGTCCCAGTTTATGTACCGAAAGCCTGGGCTTCCGACCAACCTGTCGGTCTCTTCTTGAGAGTATTGGCGTCCAGCCAGCCCATATCCCTCCGGCAAGGGGGAAGGGCTTTCCACGGACTCATCCAGAGCATCCTGTAGCTGACAGCTCCTATCGCCAATCCATCCAGGTCGCGAGTGAGCGAGGTTGGTCGCGTTGAAGGCGGTCTGGACGACGTGCTTGGTGGCGCAGGCTCGGCGGTCGCCGGCAACTTTTTTTAGCACGGTATCGCCGCGTTTGGTCGCTCGACGGCGATTGGACTTTCGCGTGTTGTTGAGCTTGGCGTTTAGGTTTGTCGGCGGAGAACGGGTGGGGAGAGGAACCTGGCGGGCTGCAATAGTAGGCGGGCTTGTTTTTTTTGAAGCGATTGTGGCCAGGCGGAGGGCGTACGGTCTGGATCAACGAGAGCTTGGTCGGGTTCGTGGGCATCAGGCTCGAGGGCGCTGGCTGGGGGCGTTTCCCGGAGCACAAATGATGCCCTTGGACGAACAGCCGCAGAGAGCGCCAGCTCGTATTGGGAAAATTGGCGCCCTGAGCGCGTAGTTCGGCAATGAAGGGGGCTAAAGATGGAGTCAGTAGGAGTGCGACCAAAGTGCGACACGAAGGAAGTGGGCGCCGCCTGCAAACCGTACCCGCTATCTGGCGCCGAGGTCCAAGGGCGGTCTCTCTTTGCTGACCAGCGGTCATGGCTTGCAGGCGGCATGGGAAGGGTAAGGAATGGGGGAGACGGCATACGCTGGAAGTCCATCCTTCGCTTGAGGGTGAGGGGGGGTTAGAAAGTGTCGTGCGACGAGTGAAGCCGCTGGGATACGCTTGGCCATGGGAAGATGAATCAGGGACCAACGTCAATTTGTCATGACGGTTGCTTGGCGACGCCGCGTCTCATATTTAAGCGTTTGAACCTTGACGATGTGGTCAGTTTGTCATGTCCTTGCCACCCAATCCTGAACTTGCCAAAGGCGAATCCTACACAAATGTAGACTTCATACACGCAGCACAAAACGGGTACCCCATGACCATCAGCTACGACTATGCGTGCCGAAACAAATGTCGCGGTCGAGTTATCATGTGGGTCATCGTCCGTGGTCGCCGTCAGCCAGCTTACCTCTTGTAGCCCGAGATCATCTAGACCCTCTCCCGCGCCTGTCGGAGCCCAGTCCCAGCAGATCGTTTGTGAAGTGGCGGCTATTGAAGTGGATGCTGAAGGCGTTGTGGAGTAAAGTAGGCACCATGTGAATATACGGTCCGATACTTCCGAATGTGACGATCGTCCATGATCGGAATGCATGCTTGTTCTCCTGACCACTTGGAGACTTGACTCTGCCACCCAACGTAGTGGCTTTGCGCCGCAAATTGCGCGTTAGTGGCTTTGTGCGAATGCTGAACTCCACGGCAGCGCCTTCATGGTCTGTGTTCGGTGAGTCCACCCAGCCCTAATTCCGCTCACAACGTTCTCTATGGCTCGTCAGACCAAAAAATCCACCTTTGAAGTCAGCTTCGCCATCCACAATCAGAGCGCCGACCATACGTACCAGTACAGTGCCGATGGCCGCCGGGTCTACTCTGCTGTCAACAATGTGGCTCCCCGCAAGCACGCTCGCTTGGAGCCGGACGACGAACCCGAAGAGTATGCGGATTGGGTTGATGTTCCAGACAGTGACACCACCCAGTTCGCTGCGGTGGCCAGCACGCTGACGTCGGACGAGGGATACTTTCACCAGATTCAGGAGGGAGAGGCAAGGGGCGACAAACGCGCCAGATACATCAGCTCAGTGCGTTTCCTTCCTTCACCGTTTCGTGTTGACTGAATACTTGCCCTGACTTATTAGGATAATCCGATGCAACTGTGGCGCGAAGTAATGCCCGATTTCCTGGACGCGATGATATGTCAAGATGGCCTGGGGATGTCTCCCTCGTGCGGCACTTGCGGTCTGTCAGCTGCTTCGGGACGCCTGTTCCGTTGCCAGGATTGCGACCACTCTGTGCAATGCGAGGAGTGTTTACGGGCTCACCAGCGGACGCCGTTACACTGCATACAGGTCTGTCTGCCTTTCTACCACTACCGCCGAGCTGACTCATCTAGGAGTGGACGGGGGAGTTTTGGGTTTCCGCAGCGCTGCATCGTCTTCACATTAACGATACATCCCCGCAAAGCTTGCGCGAGACATACCAATTGGGCCACCACGGTGGCGCATGTCCTCTGCCCGCAACCGTTGATACACGCACGATGGTGGTTTTGGACGTCGGTGGAATATTCACGCTCGACGTTTGCTTCTGTGGCTGCTCAAACAGTTTGCAAAACAATCACATCGCCCAACTTATGGGGAACCACTGGTATCCGGCGACAACGCTGGAGCCTGGGACCTGCGCAACGTGGCGTGTGCTCGAGCTCTTTCGCCAGCTCAACGTTGTCGGCAACATCAACGCCCACGACTTCGTGCGCTCGCTGGAAAAGCTGAACGACCCAACAATGATGAATCAGACGCCGGTCAGTACGATTTTCTCTTACAGCTAGGGCAACTCTAATGCTTCATTAGGATCGATACGTGGCATTCGGTAGAATGGCGCGTCAGTATCAATTTTTGAAAAGGGCCAAGCGGAGTGGTCTGGCCCACGTCGAGGAGGGCTTCAAGAATGTCGAAGCGGGCAAGCTGGCAGTGCCCTGTTGGGCGTGCCCCAAACCGGGCTTTAATCTGCCTGACGGCTGGGACAAGTGCAGCGAAGATGACAGGTCCGTTGGCTTAAACTGCGCGTTTGTCGCGAGAATGCTAATAAGCACTAGATTCTTATACTCGTTGCTACTGGCTCTGGACGCCAACTTTCGCCTGAAGAATCGGCTTCGGACGAACGAGAAACAGGACGCTTCTCTCGGGCCAGGCTGGGGCTATTTTGTGGAGGGGAATGCTTATAAGGAGCATTTGCGAGACTACGTCGCAGAGGAAGATGTAAGTCTCGCTGGGTGAGGCCGAACGGTATATGCTGACCTTCTTTTTTCAGGTCAGCACTTGTATCGCCTTTGCGGCTCTTATGCAGAAGGAGACAAGGCTGACAACGGGCCTACGAATCTCTGGGGTGGGCGGCTGCGTTTGTGCTCGCCACGGGGTGGTGCGAGCGCAAGGGATGGGTGATTTGCAAAAGGGAGAGCGGTAAGAGTTTGACATCTTTTCGCGGCGGGGCTGACATTAAGGCAGCTACGCCAATATGGATTATATATTCCTTCACGCGCTGGGAGACACAAGGGTGAAGCGTCTGGTCCTATCCTACGACATCGCTTGTCAATGGAAGCAAAGACTGCGCGAGCGGGCTCTGACGATCCTGAGCAACGCTCAGGTTGTTTGCCCAACCACCGGCCTCACTGTGGATAAAGTCCCCAACCTCACTGACTACGAAATCAAATTCGCTGCCGGTTTGGCATGCGGCCGCACGCAAACGGGTTGTCAGGCCACCCACTCTTTGAGCTATGCGTGGGGCGTGGGGCGGACGGACGGGGAAGGAATAGAGCGTACTTGGGCGCTATTAAACCCAATCGGATTCTCGACGAAGGAGATGGGCGAGGGCAACCGACTGGACACAATTGAGGACCGTATCGATCATCTTAATTTCGAAAAGAATGTCCGCCAGGGTAAGTTTATCTGTCGTTCTATGATGATTTAAACTGAAATCTATCTATCTAAGGCGATGTTCTTGCGCGAAAGCTTATCATCGCTGTGGCCGAACGAGATACGCAGATAAAGCAGTTTAAACGAGTGGACGACAGCCTCGAACCGGGAGTTCGTAAGGATTGGCAGAAAATGGTGGAGAATTGGCTTGTCGACAATACTCAGCCCAACCCATACCTGATCGGGGCCAATGGCGACGGTTCGAAGGTCTCCTTGTGTCGCTGCTTACTTAACTCACGGTGTATCAGGTCCGTCAGAGGCCAAAGTTGCGGCTCAGCTGAAGGCTGCTGAAGTCGCAGAGGCAAGGGAGCAACGAGGGGAGTTTGTTGACGGCAAGATTACCGCCGCGGCCTTCGTCAAAGGCTTGCTACATCTGGAGGACCTGAAGTACGTTTTTTTTTCCTCGGGGCAGTGCTTAGGATTGACTGAGGCGGATTGTTAGGCGAAGGATCAAGAATGAGATACGCGTTGGCGGCGTCTCTGCCCGAACGAGCAAGCCAGATCGAGGAATTGAGAGTCTCCTTCTTCAAAAAGCTGCACGCAATCCAGCAGCAGCAAGAAATTTACATGTCTGGCGTCGGTGGCCTTCGAAGGTTAGACGAGGAACGACGAGATACGGACCAGCCGCCCCAGAAGGCAGAGGATGTCAAACTCTGGCTTCCATCGGAGTTGGGGGATCGGCAAAAATGGGCCTGCAGGAAGGGGTTGTTCGAACTAGAGGCCAAATTACGACAGGCGCAGTGTGGCGACGCCTTGACAAAAGTTCGAAGCCTGCTGTATGCCAAGACGCACTTGATCTTCCATCGAAACGCTGCCTCAGTGGGCCAAAACTCGACAACTCGGTCTGCAACGTTAATCGGCCGTATGGTGGAGAAGATAACTAGGGAGGCGACCAAATATCGGCAAGCATGGGTAGCCCTTCGACGACTGAAGGGCGATGACTTCGCTCCCGAGTATCGGAAACTGGAGGATAGCGATCTGAATGTGCGTGCGGAGACGGAAAGCGACGATATCAAGGGCCCGACTAGGTCGGCTGGGGTCGGCCCGGCCTGCCCGAAATGAGCCGACGGCCGCGCAGGCCGGGCCTGTCTCTTGGATTTGGTTCATGGAGGGAGGGGGATGAAGAAGTCCGGATTCATGACGGTAGGTGGCATTTACTGTTGGCGCGCAGAATGCTGATCTGTCTATAGCGGTTCGTGTGCAATGGGCCAAGGCACGGGCGCGCCGTGACCGATGGACCGAAGAAGTGTTGTTGATTAGGGAGGAAATGCGGAGGGTTTTGAGAAGCCTGTGGTCAATCCAGCAGCAGTGGCTGGAACGCGAGACGTCTCGTCCCAATGCCCGGCCGGGCGTTGCAAGAGGGCCTTGTGGCCTATGCTAAGAAGCAGCGACATATTCATAGTTTGATTGCGAATAGGTTTGTGTTGGACTGGAGGCACTGGAAGCAATCAGTGGCGAGGGCAGTGGTCGGAAAGGAGGGGGATATTTATCAGCGGCTATTGGTAGGAGATCCGGATCAAATTTAATTATAGCTGTCAGATCTGTCAATGCCAATATTATGATGCGTCTATTGGGAACCTGCGTCTGTGATTGGCTTTGAGGAAAAGGCAAAAAGAGCAAGAACAAAATGGGCCAGCTACCTGAATAGGAACAATTCTATCAAATAGGAACAATTCTATCAGTGCCATCAGGGCCATCAATACCATCAGTGCCATCACCAAAGTGCCCTAATGGCCAGCTACCTGAATAGGAACAATTCTATCAGTGCCATCAGTGCCATCAATACCATCAGTGCCATCAGTCGCCATCACCAAGTGCCCCAATGGCCAGCTACCTGAATAGGAACAATTCTATCAGTGCCATCAATACCATCAATACCATCACTAAGTGCCCCAATGGCCAGAACAATCCCATCAGTGCCATCAACAGGCTGGGCGCTCCCCATCATTACCATCAATAGTGCCAGCCATGAACAGAGCCTCTGAATCATTACCATCAGTACCATCAATAAGCCCCGAGCCTCCCAATCATTACCATCAGTACCATCAATAAGCCCCAAGCCTCCCAATCAATAACCCGGACATGAGCTGGCTTCCGATCAAATGTAGCGGGCTGCCAAGCAAACTACAAAAATTAGCTATGATCGCTGGGATCGGCCAGCGCATCGTAAGGTTGACGATGGGATCAGTAAGATCAAGCGCATCAGCCCAGTAGATATGCCGCAGGAGGCCGGGGATGGTTGCTGAGAGGAAAGGTGCTGGGGAAGCTAGGTGTGGATGGCCCCAGGTGCAGCTACCCTCCCCGGCAACCGATTTCCCAGCTGTACCTAGTACCGCAGGCTAATTCTTACAGCTACGGGTGGTCAGTGGCTTGGCGGACGTGCCGAAGTCTTTGATGAATCGTCGGTAGAAGTTGAGGAACCCCAGGAAGCTTTGAACCTCTCGCAGGTTACGAGGTCGGGGCCATTCGGGCACGCCAGCGACCTTGATCGGGTCCATGCGAAGTTGTCCATTCCCGACGATCACACCGAGGTATTCAACTTCGTTCCGCTCGAAGTCGCACTTGTCCGGTTTCAGGTACAGTTGGTTATCCTTCAGAATCTGTAGGACCTCTTTCACCGTTGCGCGCGATGTTCGGAGAGGTCACTAGAGTATATGAGGATGTCGTCCAGGTACACGATCACGCGACCCTGGGAGATCAGGTTGGAAAACAATTCGTTCATCATGGATTGGAACGTGGCCGGGGAGTTGGTGAGGCCGAAAAACATCACGAGTGGTTCGAATAGGCCCCGATTGGTAACGAACGCGGCCTTCTCTTCGTCGCCTTCTTTTATGCGGATGTTGTTGTATCCCCAACGTACGTCGAGCTGGGTGAACCACCGGGCGTTACGTAACTTATGCATGATGTCCGATATGAGTGGTATCGGGTATCGGTTCTTGATAGTGATCTTGTTTAGCTTCCGGTAGTCCTGTACGGGCCGTAATTTCCCGTCCTTCTTCTTGACGAAGAAGAACGGGGATGCGTATGGGGATTTCGAGGGCCGAATCCGCCAGGTTGCCAAATGTTCCTTGATGAATGCGTCAAGCTCTTTCTGTTCCTCTCCTGATAGGGGAATGCAGTGCCCTTTGACGGGTTCGGCGTCTGGGTGTAGTTCAATGGCATGGTCCCACTTCCTCCGTTCCGGGAGTTTGTCGAAGTCCTGTTTTTCGAAAACCTCTTTGAATTCCTCGAGATAGTGCGCGGGTACACTCTCCTCGGTGGTTCGGGGCTTCTCGGCAGCGTAGGCGGCGGCGGCCAGTTTGTTGGCCACGCTCTGCATGGCCCGGATGTGGGCGGGCGCGTTCGAACCTTCGTCGTAGATCCGCGTGACGAAGAGGCGATCCCCTTTGCCCAGGGGTTCGTTGTCCTCTTCGTCCCATTGTTCCAGCAACCGGGCCCGCTTGCACTCGGGCGGGCATCGGGTGAAGGCGATCGCCCCTTCACGCCAGTCGATCACGGGATTGTGCTTCTTGAGCCAGTGATGCCTGATGATCACGTCGCTATTCCCAGTGTCCGTGATGGCGAATGTCAGAAGTTCGGAGTGATCCTGAATGGTGACTCGTAAGGCGGGTAACGTGGGTGATCGCCCCGTCGGTGAAGAAGGACAACTAAGTCCAAGCGAGGACTAGATGTGGGCCGAGGTCGTACCGAGGGCGGCGCTGCGGGAGGAGTAGATGTGCGGGGTAGATTAGATAAGATTTACTTAGCTTTTGCAGTAATCGTAGAACTCGGGCTCGATGTAGCGCTTTCGCTCGCGCCACTCTGACTTTGAGATGGGGGCAAGAAGTAAGGGATGAGATACTCTCCTATTCGACACATGAAACCGTATCTACGCGATCGAAAGGGGTGATGAAATACTTTGTAAGTACAGAGACCATGAATCCTAAGCTTGGTTAACAACCACACACACAGCCAGGTAGAGGACAATTCGGATAGGGTGGCGACGCTGCCGCCTCCAGCGCTAACTTCGGGATGACCAAGCCCGTGTTGATGCGCACCCCAGTCCCGCCGAGCTGCCGTGTGGTCGCAACTTCCGCTTCGGATATAATGAGATAAGGAGGAGGGAGGGAATAGAGAAATGGACAGATAGAGGAGTAGAGTAGAGGAATGTGGCTGTTAACGCCCGAAGATGGTCGTCACGTGGAAGTCGCGTGACCGTGATAGCGACGTGGAAGCCAGATGGCACTTCCACAGTTTCGCCCTCGGAATCGCGCTGATTAGTGAAGGTGATTGTGGGGAATAGAATAGGACTGTTGAAAGGCATGTGCGCGCCGTTCGCCATCGAGGTACCAAGTGTTGTTGAGTGCTGAGACAATGCGAGCGAAGTTCGTGAGGTGTGACTACCGAGATGAGAGGCGTCATTGCGGCCGTGTTGCGCCGGATGGACCGTCGAACATCTTGCTCCCACTCGCCGTGCTCGTATTGGACTCGGAGGCCAGTGCCTCTCTCGTAAAGTGGCGGTTTGTATTCCGGACTGCGTGGTGCGTAGATGAAGCGCTTCATCTGGCGGATGAACGTTTCCGAGTTCATTGGTTCGTTGATGACGCCCGTTCACGAGACGTGGAGGGTACCGAGCTGGGACTATACCCCCGTCGCGGAGGTATTGAACGATTTCGAACCATGAGAGGAGAAAATCCCGACGGTAGACGTGAATGCAGATCGGTAATGTAACGTACTCACCTCCAAACAGATACTCGTGTTCTTCCTCGTAGCAGTACTTGAGTGTAACGTCGCTTCGCGAATAAGCTGCATATTGGTGGTTGTCGATCTGGTACCCGTCAATGTCGTCATCGAAGCGGTCGGGGCGCGGCGTATTGTCGTAAGGTCTTGGTATGTGCGGAGCTCCAAGCCAACGGTCTTCAGGTGGATGGAAACCTCTATGAGTGCGGTTACAGGGCGCGCGCTCCATAGATTGAGAGTGAGAGTCGGAGAGAGAGAAAGGGAAAGGAAGGAAAGGGGGAGATGTCGGGTATAAATGAGCTCGGACCGCTCTCCTGTTCCGAGGCTGTGAGTGATCGACAATCAATTTGAAAACTCAGCTCTAATTTCCGCGATCCGCGCCATAGCCACGTCGTACCGAAGGTCCGGATTTTCGGCTTGGCGGGTCGGCGCAGCCAATTTCGTCTTGAGCGTCTGGTTTTCGGGCCGGAAGTAGAAGAGGCGGAGGCGCCGAATGTTGACGTGTCCTCGAAGGATGGCGCCACTAAGCTCGCGCAGAACAAAGGAGTCATTAGCACGTTTTTCATGAATGATATACGGGCCTGCATAGGTCCACTTATCTTTGTCTCCCTTAGTCTCATCCAGCGCGGACTCGCGCAGCCACACGTACATCCCCGGCTCGTAGTCTCGGAAGTCGAAATGGAAGTGGTGGCGTTTGTGCAGGTCCTCGATAGCGCGACGACGCGATTCTCGGAGCTTGACATTGGCCTCAGCCATTTTGGGGTCGCGTCGCTCGAGCTGACGAGCGCGCATGGCTATCAAGTCGTCGTGCGTGAAGACAGCGTCCCAGTCGAGAGTCTGCCAAGTGATTTCAGCTAAGTCATATGAGAAGAGCGGATGGACACCATAAAGGAGGAAGTAGGGCGTGAAGCCCGTGGCGCGCGAAACCGTAACTCGAATTGCGAGCAATACGGGATAAACATAGCGGGGCCAGTTGCCCTTCTTGTCGCCACATAGCTTGTATAACGCGCTAACCAGCGGCTGATGCGATCGTTCGACTCGGCCGTTGCCCTCCGGGTGATAGGCAGTCGAGAAGATAACGCGGCAGTTGTATTGCGTCCGCAGTAGTTCTTGCACCTCGCCTTTGAACTCGGGGCCGCCGTCGAAGGAGATGATTGGGATACCGCCGAACCTGCAGATGAGCACCTCGTAGATAAATTTCGCCACATAATGAGATGTGAGGGACTTAACAGGGCGAGCCTCCGGCCATCCAATCGTTGACTCGATAGCGTGGATGATATACTTGAGTCCGTTAAGTCCTTCGCGCATGTGAATGCAGTCGAGTTCGAAGTGGCGGAGGAGCGGAGATTGCCATGACTCGTTGAAAGGCAGATGCGGGATTCGTTTAATGGACTTTTGACATTCGATGCAAGATCTGACAAAGAAGGAGATGTCAGAGTACATGTTCGGCCAGTAAAAACGGTCACGTAGCTGAGCATAAACAGCATCTCGGCCTCGGTGGCCGCATTCGTTGTGCGCCTGGGCCATGAGCTCGCCGCGCTTGCTTGGAACATCGACCACTAGTCGCGGTAGTCGGTCAGAATTCTTCTTCGGCGCCAGCCAGAGCCGATCCTGGTGGAAGAGGAAGCGCCGAGCTCGTTTAATGAACGCGGACTTAGCTCG